TCTTCCTCTCCCCCCCCCCCCCCCCCCCCAGCCACTCCAGTTAACAGAATTAGCATGCGGACTGAAGGCACTCTGCTGTGAGGACAAAGACCAGGCTTTCTGCAGATGAAACTGCTTGCATCTATTTTACCTTGAATATAAAATCTGACTCTAGTGCTGATTGCATTAGCATTTACACTTAGACATGATGTTTGGTCAAGTAAAGTTAACTGCAGTACCTGTAGATGTGAAATCTCTCCTTCTCTTAACTTTAGCTGTGATTGGAGGTTTTCAATTATACTTGAACCTGCTCCCATCCTTATGGCATCATAAAGATTGCTTCCACTAGTAGCTACTGGCCCAAATGAGTGATCATGAGGATCATCCTACAAACAAAAGGTTAGAGATGCTTAAAATTTGACAAAAATGTGCATCCTTTAGAATTTTTCCTCTTGCCAAGTATTACTTAATTCAGGATTTAAAATCATACTGTTACTAGGCAAGAATTTTGATGCTTAAACCTTGTTTATAAAACAAAAGCTTGAGGTGAATAGGTAGAACTCAAAATATCTCCTTACTGATAAGTTCTCATGTTACCTCCACAGCTGTCATTTAACTTGGACATCAATTACAGTATCCAAAGTAGGAGAAGCAGCAGACTCCACACAGACCAGAACAATGATACTGCCTAGGGAGCAACGTTGTGCTCAAAACCAGGCTTGCTAGTAAAAACACATCCATTTATTCAAGTCCTGCTAGTGTTACTCAGTTCTTCTAGATTAAATGATATTATGTAAAGTCAGCATCAATACATGTATATCTTACTGTGCAGTGAAATTGTTTCACACTGTCTTGCACAGCTGCTTTACACTCAGACACCTTGTAAGCAAGTTTTAGAAGTTTCTGCATAGGAATTACCTTGTCTAAGGCTCATATGCTCTAGAAGACTAAGTTCTACATTAATAAAACTTCTTGGAGTGGCAAAAATGCAATCTGCCACAAAAGAAGCCAATTTAACTAATATATAATACCTGTGAAAGGAAAGATGTCTGAAGACCTGCCATATCAACTCCACTTATGGAACTGGAGCGTGACATCGTTGGAGTACTTGAAACAGTGTCAACTGGAAAGGGCTTCCGATCCTTCAAAAAACCCAAACAAACAAAAAACCCACACACATCATGGTTGGATACAAAACGTTTACAAAACTGTGAAAGTCACATTATGTAAATAACAGCCTGCCCTTTTCCACCAACAAATACAGGACATACTGTAGCAGATAACCTTTCACAGAAGCACAGAATCTTCATGGCTGGAAAGAACCTCTGAGATCACCAAGTCCAACCATCAACACAAAACTAAAAGAAACCAACAAAAAAACACCCCACCAAAAAACACCCATCAAATAACCCCACAACCTCAGCCACTAGAGCATACCCTGAAGTGCCACATCTACACGTTTCTTGAATACCTCCAGGGATGGTGACTCCACCACCTCCCTGGGCAGGCTGCCCCAGGGCCTGACCACTCTTCCAGTATAGAAATTCTTCCCAATATCCCATCCCAACCTCCCCTGCTGCAACTTCAGGCCATTTCCCCTAGTCCTGTCATTATTTACTTAAGAGAAGAGGCCAATACCCACCTCACTACAACCTCCCCTGCCCCATCTCTAAAAAATACTGAAGTTCAACAATAAAGAATTACTGTGCTGCTAACACTTCCAGCCTAGGTTGAAGCCCTCAAACTTTTAAGGAAACAAAGACAGAAGTTGCAAATTACACCAAAGAAATTTATCTTTCAAGTTGCTACAGGAGATTCAGATGCAGTTTTGTACACCCAGATGTATCACAGGAAGAATATTCTAAACCCAGAATTATGTCTTAGAATGCATATTAATACTTTTTTTAAAATGAAATATGAATTCAATTCTGAGATTTCTCACTTGCTCATACCTTACTGACATACCTTCCAAACAGACTGAACTCTTTTTAAGGGCTGCATCTGAAAGTATGCTAGCCCCTGAAAGATAAAGCACTTTGATTTTAGACCTGGAGATGGTAAGGAACCAGTTATTGACTACTAATTAGCAGTGACAAAATTACTGACTATTGAGGTCCAGCCTGTGACTTCAGCTGGAAAGCATGTGGTACATTACACAGTCATGTGAAAGGCAAAACAGGAATTCAGCAGAAGCAAAGCTAGTTGTCTAAGCAGAGGAAACAAGCAGCTTCAGAAGAAAAACAATCCAAAAGCATTCAGAAAAGGAGCAGATTAAACCAATCATTATCCATATTGTCTCCTCAGGTTAAACAGACTGTTAGTCAAGGCTCATTTCAGCAAGTATTGCACAAGCACAGATTTCATTGGAAATAAAAGGCAGTCACAGTAAGAAAGAGCCAAGTCCCCAGTGCCTGGGCTGACAAATGCTGTATATACTGTGCTGCTCTAACCCTCTGTGCTGCTTGTGGCAGTTTCAGGTTCTGGGTATCTACTAAATTAGTGATAGTATCAATAATACTGGAAAGAAATGTTAGATTTTGGTACCTTCTCCTTTGCTGCTTCTTGCACAAAAATTGCCTTCTTTCTTTCTTGTTCAACCTTCATCTTTTCCATTTCTAGCTGAGTAGCTAGCAATGTCTACAAAAATAAATACAGGTTGTTAATGTCCTGCTAGTTCAGAGCTGAACAGTAACACAGCTTAAAGCTGAAGTAGGCAATACCTTTTCTTTCTTTGCCTCTTCCAAGGTTTTTGCATACTCATCTTTGAGTCCTTCTAGTTCAACCTCGTACCTACATTGTGGAAAGAAAGAGGCAGAGGAAGCCAGTAAAGAAGGATTCTGTGATTACTTTAGATTCACGTGCTTTTAAAACAAATAAATCTTCAAAGCTTTAAAACATGATGAAAGTAGCATACTTCAGACAGTCTTCAGCATGAAACAAAACACCATGAGCAAGCTGGACAACTTTATCAGTAGCTGTCATCATTTTGCACAGTTGCATCAACCCTCAAAAGAATCAGGTCCCCCAGCCTGCAGAAGGTTACGTAAGGGAGAGAAGGTGCTCTGTTTCACTTCAGTTTTAAACAGATGCTGTTAACCAAAAATGCAACTCACCTACTATTTTCATTCTCCATTTTTTTCAATCTGTTCCTCTCCACTTCTAGCTGAGCCTGAAGGCGTGTATTTTCTTGCCTTAAAAGACTATTCTGAGACTCAGTAGAAGACATCTGAATTTTATTAGAAAGAAGTTCTTCTGTAGCAGCCCGTTCTCTCTCAGCAGCTGCTGCTAGAAGAGTTTGAGACTCACCTAACATTAAGTAAAGAAAAACATGGAATGTAACTTCTTTGATTAAGAGTCATAAACATCTGTAACAATTTCAGCATCAAAATGGAATGAGTTTTTTTAGATGAAACTATTTTTTCTTAAAAAAAACCCATAACCAACCAACCAGTTTTATCTTGTAAATGACATTAAATATTTTCCACTACACAGTGAGAGGAAGAAAGCAGAGCAGAACAAGGAGACTTCATACTCTTTCAGAATGCAATATACAGCTACAGATTGCCTCCAGAAAACAACTCATTTCTCTGGGCCCACCTTTGGACATTTTATGCATTTTTCATTTAAAATAATAGCTGAGTACTGTATGAACACATCTATGTCTCATTTTCTATGCAGTTAGATAAGTAAATTATTTTAATCTTTTCAATACAGAATCTAATCACCAGGCTTGACAGCTGAAAATGCTGGTGCACTTCCAGTGTCTGTGTGTCCATCCTTACTTTAGATGCTGTAAAGACATATACAACTTAACACCTCTACCTTACAATCTGAATTTTAAAGAGTATCAGTGAATGATCTGTCCCAGAATACCCCACATACATTTCCTTACAGAAAAGCTTTTTGTGCTCATCTGTCCTGATCCACCATTAAGGCTCTGAAGAAGTGTCAGGTCCTTTTAATTTACCTTCAGCCATCTCACAACTTCATCAAGAGCCTCACTGTTCAGTAAAAGCTACAAACTCTTACCAAGCCTGTCAGAAAGGTTCTTTTCCAATTTTTCCCAAGCAGAGGTCTGTGCTCCCAGTGTGGCTTGCAGATTTTCTATCTGCCGGAGCAGGGGCCGTGTGGCAGATGTAACACTCTGACTTAGCTCTTGGTTCCGGCTCTCTGCTTCCTGCAGTCTCTGAAATTAGAAATTAAACATAATTAAGCTTTCAAATCAGATGATGGATTAAAATATTAATACAGAATTCTGCCAAACATGCAGCAGTTGCTGAAATTCTTATGTTCAAACTCCCAGTGAAGTGTGAAATTTCAAGACAGAAGCCTGACATTTTTAGATACTTAAAGAGCAACAGCCCAGAAATGTACGTTTCGAGACCCCTCTGGACATTGCTTGAAAGTTTCTGGCAACAAGCTTTCTATCTTCTGGAACTTCAGAAAAATATTCTTAAGCAGCTGAAGAGGAACTTAAAACATTTGCTAGCAGTTTCAGAGGACTATTACAAACTTAATGGCTGTACTTTCTCTTATACTAAAAGGACAGCATTACATTTTAAGGGCACGATAAAAATCATGTGTTTGATACTTAATTAAAAAAAACATTTCCTTTAATATTTTCATTGTTGTTCTGCACAGTACAAATACTGCAGGTAGGCAGGAAACCAAAGCCTTTCTTTCAGGCTATTCATGTCATGCTAGCTTTTCATTTGCAGTTTTCAGGATACAAGCTGGCACCATCTATTTGCTGTAGCACCTGCTGTAGTTCGCTGATTTCCTGGCGTAAATAGTCTTCCTTTCTTGCTGCCTGCTGCTCCGCACGCTGCAGTGCCAGCCTCAGGTCTGCCACCTGAAGAAACAAAGACATGGGCACTAGCCTCTTGCCAAGTTAGAAACCACCTATTTACTCACTGCTAGTCCTGTACCACTTTTGTACACTGTTAGACAGGGTATGTCTCTTTACAAATTAAAGGCTTTGCGTGGACACCAATAGTTACAGTAATTTATCTTTCACTACAAATTTTGTACAACTAAATTTTTTGAACTTTGCATCATGGTAAGAGCACTACAGACTTGAAATAGAGCCTGTCAAAGTAATTTTGCTTAGGCAACATTTAAATTATTTTAAAACAAAATGGGTATTTTAAAGCATGACTGACACTAAAGACTGAACAAGTTCACAGAAAAGTCACTCAGTGGGTGTTTGCTAAGTACACAAAACTGAGTTCCACCTCACACTGCACCTGATCCATTACATCAGATGCACACACCATCCCAGTAAGTTCATTTGCTCAGTGATAAGGTTTTATTCTCTGCATTTCAACCCCACCTGAATTGCCAAAGCCTCTTGCTGCTGCCGTGCCTCGTCCTGGGCCTTCTCCAGAGCTAACCCAAGCTCTTCCTTTGCCTTCATCTCCCGACTGAGGGCTGCTTCTTGTGCCTCACTGTCCTTTGTAGCATTAGCTTTATGAAGATCTGCAAGTTCCCTGGGGAGGAAAAAAAACCAAACAAACCCACCCTGCATTTACAGTTTACACAATGCCAACAGTGACTCTGCAAACACCGTTGTTACATACTAAACAAGCAATAGGCAGAGAAACTGAATGTATGGTTGAAGACAGGAACACAAATATTTGCTTACTTGTATGCACTGTCAAGTGCTGCCTGGACACTTCTGTTGCGTTCTTCAAGGTCTTCCACTTCTGCCTGAAGTTTAGTAAGATCCTTTTCTTGTCTCTCTACAACACTGTTCAGTTGCTTAATGCTGTCTCGATGCTGCTTCTCCAGGTCTTCCTTGCCATCAAGCACCTAGCAGAGAGCAAAAAAGCATGAGACACCACCAGCACATGGGGTGAACAATGCCACCTGAGCACAATGACAACCGTGGCCACCAATTCAGGGTGAAGTTACACAAAATGCTGAACCTGATCCAACACTTCATCAACAGAGAAAGGTTTTGCTTCTCCCTCTCCCCCAGAGGAGGAGGCTCCTTCACCAGCTTCACAGACTTCCTCATATTGACTTCTGCTGCCTCTATGGTCCTGATTCAATCACTAACTGACCAAAAAAAGGCCACAATTTGCCTGGTACAGGTTTGCCAATTGAAATTTAGTGAAATCATTTAGGTCAGCCCACCTGGTAACCACCAGCTCAAGTGCAAACAAGCAGCTGGAGAGATACCCACTGCAGTTGTAAACTGCTCTAAGAATACACCCAGAAGTCACACCTCAGTGCTCCAATAATTTGAAACAGAGGAGTCTCCCAGAAAAGAAAACCCAACAACCTATTAGTCTACCTCGAGCCTCCCCAAAAGGCTATTCTGCAGCTAACATAAAAAGCTTTTTTTAAAAAACAACCCAAAATATATTACCTGTTTTAAATGCTGCAACTCCTCTTCCAATTCTTTAATCTTTTTGTTCTGTTTTGCATTAATATTTTCTCTCTCTTTCTCCTTGGCCCTTAATTTCTTAATAATGTTGGAATTATGCAGCTGCTGTTTGGAAAGCTTTTCTCCTGTGAAGAAAATGAATATAAAGCTAGTGCATATTCCATGAACTGTCTCTATTCACACCTCCCCCTGCTCTTCAGTCTTGTGAAAATAATAATTAAATAGGTATCAAAATATTTATACTTTTTATGTAAGTTCTTAAGTTTAAAACTACCTTATCCTGAGATGACCTTGCTCTACTAAGCTATAGTGAGACAGGACAGGCAGTGAAAGGCTTTGAAAGTAAAATAAATGAGATCATTGTATCAGGAAACAAAACCAAATTGCCTGTTTGTTTAGCAATTGTGTTTTACTTTCAAAATTAAAAAGTAGTAAGGGAGACATTGTAGAAATGCCTTGAACAATGCCCTAGTTAGATTTCTGCTGAACAGAACATGGAGCATTGTACCACACACTGGTTTTATTCTACAGCACGTTTTAATGCATGTTACCTCTCCAGCTCTATGGATCTGACTGATCCCTCCTGTTGCTCTTTACTTTTCACTAAATTATTAAAATGTTCAGAATCTTCTAACATGCTCCAAATAATGCTTTTCCCCCATAAGGAAAGCTCATATGTGAAGACAGTACATTTCAAACTATTCTACAAGTTTTTAGCATTAAAATTTTGGTTTAATTCTCACCTTCCTCCATTAATCCTTTGATTTGCTCTTCTTTTTCTTTCAGTAATTCAGCAGTTTCATTACTATTAAGTCTAGTAGCCAATTCTTCTTTAACAGTCTTTACTTCCTAAATATTAAAATACAGTACTTAAGACCACTTATTACAATACATTTATGGCTAAATGCACAGTAAGCTACACTAATCACTTTTTTCTCTCCACTTCCTCTCAAAAGGCTTATATCTGAAAACAACTGAGGCTGGAAAGGAACTCTGGAGATTATCTGATGAAAACAGACTGCTCAGAGCCTTATTCCATCAAGTTTTTAAAACCTCCAAGGTTTGAGACTCTAAATTCTCTGCATGATTTGTTCCAACTCCTCCTTCCATTTCACCTTCTACACTTTCAACATTTGCAATACAGTAAAAACAAACTGTTACATTCACACACAGGTACCAGATAATTTTCTGTTTCAGCTTACTACTGTGCCAACACAGTGACACATACAGTGACAGAACAACTGGGACAAGTGTTCTTTGTTGCCCTGGTACAGATTTGAGTTTACTTTTTGAAGACTAGCAAGAAGCTCAAGAAATGTAATGCTGCGGCACCAGGTCAAGAACATTTAAATTCCATAAGCTTTGTTGCTGCAGACTTCTTTGCTCATCCCAAACCAATTCATCACCAATTCTTAATTTTCCTACTAGTTAATCCTCTGCAGAAGTCATTCCCATTCTTTGCCATTTCCTCAAATCCCATTCTTCTCCCTCACATCAATGCAAATGCATATATGGGTACAAGGTAAGCAAGAGCAAACATTAAACCTTTTTCTTGCCCCAAATCAGACTAACTGTAACTTAAATGGGTTCCCTTACCTGGCTGACAACACAGCTGCCAGAATACACATGTCAACACAAGGAAATAACAAGCAGCCTGGGAGGCCAGAATCAGCTTACACTAGATACATAGATTAGATAGCACTGTCCATCTCATGCTTTTCCTGAGCTTAATTGGTATGATTTTACATCAAGAAATGTACTTGCCTTCTAAAACAAAACATTCATTTCACCAAAAAATCAAATTACCTTTCTAGCTGCATCCCTTTCCTTGCAGGCCAGCTGGAGCTTCTTCTCAGCATCCGCAATCCTCTGAGCAAACTCCTCTTTAAGAGAGGAAAGGCTACTGCTCTCTTCTTTCATTCTAAACATTTCACTACATTTAAAAATCAGCATTTCAGAACAGTTGCACGGTTATGTGACATTCCAAGCAGTTTGTAACAGGTTGTCTGAAAGGCTTTTAAAATATGTTGGGGTTTTTTTAATTGTATTTTGCACACTAACTAGCAAGCAAAAAAACTGACATTCATGTTAGAGGTCCTTATCAAAGATACCCATTCATTCAGCAATTTATCCATTAAAACAATGAAATGCTTGATACACCTTAAATGTTTTGCCCCTTAATCAAGTTCCTTCTCATTAACCATAGTCTGTACCATATACAGGGCAAATAATTAGATGTATTTTTAAGTTAAGATCAATGTAGTCATTAAACAATGCCTTCACATGCTCTCTGTACGTTTTTGAGCTTCCTATTTGATCAGTGAACTGATAATCCAACTTTTCTCTTTTTTTTCCTCTTAATTCTAACTGAATTAAATAAACCAGCCCTTTTACAACACTTTCACTACCTACATTTTAGTCAGCAAATTAGTAAGCCAAGTTTATCCACCTGTATCAGAAAAGTCAGCCTCCCTTAATAGCTGAAACCAGTCTTTTAACCAGGTGAGACTCTACACATTTGTTTGTCATTCCTCCTGCTTACTTCCTGAAAAAATCTTTCACCAGCCTCTTCCCAAAAGAGATTTTGGCTCAGGAAATAACATGTCTTTATTTCCATCTTTCCCAGAAAGTGCACATCCCTTATAACCTTTATTCTAGTTATAAAGCTACTTGGTTTACAATATTGTCTACTGACTGCACTACAGTAAAGTTAGCTACACCCACTACTGTGTATATTTTTATACTTACTCTTTGAGGTTATCATAAGCTTCTTCCAGGCGTGCCTTTTCTTTACTAGTGCTTAATAACTGTATTTCCCTCTTCTCCAGCTTCTCAGTTAATGAATCAATGACCTGGACATTGTTTTTACAGGTAAAGATCAGGTGAATGGGACAATTAAAACACAAGAGGGGCAGGATTCCCCTCTCCCACCATTCCCACCCAACACTACTTAAAACTGAAGTTGTCAACATTCTGAAGAATTTATCATAAATTCCTAAAAATTAGAGATTACCATGTTTCTGTCACATTAATTTAGAACTAAGCAGTATCTAAACACAACACTTGTTTTTCTAGCATTTTTAACAAAAAAAAAAAAAAAATCCTACCCAATACGTCCATGTGGCTAAGTCCTTCAACAAAATCATCAACAGTTGTATTTAATTATAATTTAAGGTTTTAAACAGATCTGATAGCCTATAAAACCATAGCTAGCCTTTAAGACTCCCACTGCTCCTTATATCACTCTTCACCAATTACAGCATTTACATTAGATGGTCTCTTCTGTGAAACATTAGCACAAAGCAACAAAACAGTATCAGGTGAGGACAGCAAACTTTCAGGCAGGATCAAGAGCTCATAGCTCACATCTTCAAAATAGTTTCTTAATACCAGATTTTGGGAAGCTAAACAGAGAAGTAACAGCAACAGGCATGCAAATAAACACAAGTGAAACAGTCTATAAATGTAGCTCAACATGGCCAATGAAAGACAATTTTTGCTGTGGTCTATGATAACTATTTCTCATTATGTATAACCTCTTTAAGTTCAGAAAACTTAAAGATAACAGTCCATAGTTTTTGAGTTCTCTGAGGAGTTCACACTGACATTCTGTGCAATTTACACAAAAAATGCCTTCCTTAAAACACAGATTACGTTGGGGTTTTATGAACTCCCAGAAGCAATTTCTTTTCCCTAATTACTATAAGAAAAACAGCATCAATCTTACAAACATGCCTACAGGGCAAGGCAACTATGTCACAGATTAGGCACACCGGCTATGAACAACAACAACAATAAAAAGCAAAGAAACAGACCAGAACAAATTTTAAAGGAACTCAGGAATTAAAAACAAGAACAGGGGGACAGGAAGGTGACAAAGGAAACAGAGAAAAAACAATACACTGGTAGAACTGGACAAATTATACTGCTTCAAAACTCCAGTTTACATGCACAAGTACCCTACTTCACCACATTTCTAGTCTTTCCATCTGCCTAAACCAGCAATAAAAATTTATTTTAACCTATCCAATATCCATAACTATGCTTATCTTCTCCATTAAAAAGCCTTTATAAAATATTATTTCTGCTAAAAACAAACATTAATGTATCTAGTAAAAAGTACTTTATACTAACTACTGCTGTTCTCAAAGAACATGCATAATGTTTCTAGAATGTAATCAAGTCTGTGGAAAAAAAATGTTGCAAAATATTATTTCTATTATTGCTGAAATACTAAAGAGTTGTAGTTTCATAATTCAAATCAAAATACTTCATGGAATCTCTTTCATAGAAAAAAAAACACCCCAATGCACCAAATAACTGAACTAATGTATTTGAACTATCAAGGCTTCCTGTTTGCTAGCACTACTGACAATTCCCAATAATGATAACTAGGTGGGTTAGGTGAAACCCAAAATCATTTGACCAGAAATTTCACCAATATTATTCCAGTGCAGAATATCAAGTTTTCTACCGGGCAACATAGTTTAACATCAATTAATTAATGCAAAGAAGGTGAAGCTAATAGCTACCTAAGGAGGTGATAGAACTTTCATTTATTATTATAGGGTACATTTGCAAAACACGTTTTACAGCTACCTTGTTAAGCTCTTGCTTTTCAGTGTCCTCTTCTACCACTTTTTCAACAGCATCCTGCTGGGGCTCAGTCTCCTCTTTTACAATCTGCTCTTCAACAGTTTGCACAGTAGCAACCAGAACATCTGGCTGCTCAGAATTAACAGGGGTTGCACTTCTCCCACTCTCCTCCATCTCTGCTTCCTCAGCAGGTACAACAGGAGCATCACTCGAGTTTTCAGATTTATTTTTCAGAGCATCAACCACTTCTGCCTTTGGCGCAGAAGCACTGACGGCGACAGATGCTGAAGCAGGAGCCCTGCCTGATAACTCATCATCTGAATTTATTTCACTCACACTTCTGCTATCCAAAGACTGGACACTAAATGAATCAATTCTTTCAAAAGCATCAGAGGAGCCACAGCTCTCAGTCATTTTTTGAAAGTCATCTAAACGATTATAATCTGCGCAGGCCGATGTAGACAAAAGCTGAAACGATGTCTGCATTAGATGAAGACTGGATTTTGAATCTGCAGCTTCCTGTCTTGAACTTACTGAGCTCTCACTTATGACACTTTCATGGTCCAGAACTTCAATGTCACTCGTTGTGGATGTCCCCGAGGAGAAAGTGCTAATTGGAGGTGAGGGTGTATTGCTTTGCCTGTCCTCAGTCTTTCGCTCCTTAGTTTCCAAACCCACTTCCTTTGTACCTGTGTGGAGAGGCTGGGAGGTGCTGCCTGGTGCACCTCCTGTCCCAGCCCCTCCTGGGCTGCATTTTTCATTAAGAGCATCTTCAGGTACTTCCAAATTTAGAGCAGACACCTTTTTGTCAGTAACTTCATTTGTGCTTTCTTCATGCTTGGCATCAGATTCAAGCACAGAATTCTCTTCTAATTTCTCCTTGGGAATATCAAGGTTTTTCAAGTCCACTAGGCCAGCTACAGAGGGATCCTTCACTTCTGCCTCTGTTGTCACTGGTACTTCCAGCTGACTGGGGTGCTGGGACTCCTTTAAAGTGCTTTTCACCTCCTCTTTGGGTCGCTGTGATTTGGCTGGAGGTTTGGACACCACTGAGTTCTTCTGGATACTCTGAACCTCCGTCGGGGAGAGAAAGGCACTGAAGAAGTTCTCAGATTCATCTACTACCGTCCTCCTCACTGGCTTAGTGATTGCTGTTGGTGATACAGGCTGGTTCTGTGGTTCTGTATTTGAACTTAAGCCCCAGGAAGATGTATCCCATCCTCCACTTATGAGGGAGTTTGTTCCTAAAACAAAAAGAGAGAGGCCGAGAACACATTTGTCAGCAGCTCAGATAAAATTATGAGTTTTCTTCTTATCCTGCGGAGAAATACTGAATTGATTAGATCTGAAGCTGCCCTAAAACAAGATCAACAGTTCCTATTATTGTATGTCTCACTGATTTTCTTGCAGAACTTGCCAACAGCAAGGATAGTAAGAATTTCAGCAGCATCCTAAGTGAAAGAGAAACTAAAAAAAATAAACAAATAATCCAATTTGATTTTGTACCTACAAAAATAATCTAGGTAACTATTTCAGGCTACCTAAAAACAAGCTCACTTCATAGAGCAGTATCTATTAAAAACCACCGAGTTATAACACTTAAAGCAAACAGCCACTTTCCAAAACTACTGATAACTATTGGCCTCAAGATCTCAAATTCAGATGATTACTGCTCTCACTGACAAAAATACTACAAACATCTGATTTGTTACTACCTTAACCAGGATTCAATAGCTTCAGAAAAAGCCCTGTGAGTGAATTTTCACATTCAGAAGATCCTTCACTTCTTAAAAAAAAAATAAGTTTCCCCTGAAAAACAGACATAGCCTGATCTCTGCTGCTTTCCTTAGGAATTTACAGAACTACTACAAACACTAAGATACCAATTACATTTAAAAAAACCTGTTTTTGACAAGTTCAAAGTCTTAAGAAACTAGGGACAACAGATTTCTATAAACAATTCTTGTCATTTAAGACAAGGACTAGGTGACTGTCTAGCCCTTGCTCCCACAAAGGGACCAAGACATGCAAAAATGACCCCACTCTTTGCTGAGCAACCAACCCAGACTTCACTTTCAGCTGTTCCAGCTTCCAGTTACCAGAAATCCACCTCTGCTGTTGAGTCTACCTGGAAAGAAACAGCTCCTACAAACATGTGCAGTTCTTCCAGATATACCTGTAGTAAGGACACCAATTCCAGACGACTGCAGCTTCCCAGCCTTTCTCATTTTTAAGGTATTATTTATGGGAGAAAAAGTTTGTAACAAGAGGGCTCATCTTTGCTCTCTCTCTCTCCTAAACAGCAATTTAGGAGATTCTTACAGGTTCTACATTAGCACACACACAAAGGAGACACTTCCTCACAACCGAACCGTGACACTTTCCCACCGACACGTTCCTTCCCAGATGTTGGAATTCTGGACGAAACCCCACAAAGAGCGGGAACCCCACTGGGTTCACACAGATCCTCCATCTCCTGCCCTGCTCCTCCTGTCACAAAGGGACGACGCACGCCTCGGGGAGAACAGGGTTTTCCCCTTTTTATTAACGGGACGGCCCTGAGCACCCGCGAGTCCCTCGGGACACAAACACCGAACAGGTGCGAAGCGACAAACGCTCCGCACGGGTGACAAGGACCAGGAACCGGGTGTGTCACCCCTGCTGTGCCCCCCCTGCCCCGCCTGGAAGGGGCACCAGCAGCAGCCCGGGCGCTGCAGAAGGGGCTCTGGGCTGGGAGGGCTGGTTAAACCCCCTCAGCGCATCCCCCGGCCCGGGTGAGGGGGCGGGCAGAGGGGCCAGGCCTGGGTAAGGCCTGACGCTCTTACCGTCGCCGTAGTCGGGGATGACGGCGTCGGGCCAAGGGCTCTCCTCGGCCTGGATGTCCAGCACCCGGTCGATGGACTTCTGGGCCTGCGACAGCGCCTGCTTGGCGAAGCTGGAAAGCTGCGAAGCGTTGAACCAGCTCATCCTCCGCGCTGCCCGGCCGGACACAGGCACAGAGGCGGCCGG